GGCCCTGGCAAGGTGCTTTCTACGGAACACCACCTGTCCTGACTGCAGGTGACTTTTTTTTGTCCCATATTTCCTGGGAGTCCTGGTCTGGAGCACCCCAGTCTCTTTGCTGCTTCCCCCTGAAACAGTAGTTATAACCTGGGGACAGAGTAACTCTCTTAGGATCAAATTCCTGAATAACTTTCCTCCTGTTTGGGAGTACTTCTGAGAAGAAAAATCTGAAATCACCACAGGTTTGCCAGCAAAATGCAAATATAGACTTCTTGTGTTTAAACTAATCCACTCTCCCCAGAGAGAGGACTATGAGGTGTGCAGAGGGGATAGAGCTTCAGAGGGAGGGATTGGAGTAATTTATGCCAGCAGAGACTCTACTGAAATACCCGGCCCATACCCACCAGACATTTCAGAATTGGTTAAAAGCGTTAATAATGGCTTGAACTGTTAGTAATCATCCTGTTTGGGGTGGGAACACTGTAGGATTGTGGTGTCGTACTGTGATGACTCTTGTTTTGATTCCTGGTTCCTGATTCAAACCCTATTTTCAGCAGGGTGATGGCATCAGATGCAGAGAGGAAACCAGCTGTGAGTTCAGATGCCCCGAGTTCACCTCCTTCGGTTGGGACAGCGCCTGTGCTCTTCCTAGAGGGACGGATCTATTCCTCACCTTGGCTTGCTGCTTTTCAGTTTGCTTTGAGGAACTGAGGGACCAGAGCTGTTCTGTGCTGGAGGCAATATTACATGAAGAGACTCTTTTATGTTCTCCAAAGAAAATTCTTCCTTTTCAGACTTAAAGGCAAGTGCATTTTCCAACACAGAAATGGATGTGGATTCACTGATTTTGCAGCTTACTTCTGTTTCTCAGCTTTGTTCTTTCACTCTCAGATCTCTCTCTTTCCTTTTCTCTGTCTGATCTTTCATATTTTTATCTGAGGCCTGTCCAGAAAAACAAGCTTATTCTGTGGCCTGAATTTCCTCTTTTAGATGCCAGACTGACATTCTCCAGAGCTGAGGGAATGGATGTCTTAGAGTCAGCTCAAGCTGATCGAAGGTAAGTATAGGAAAGCCTTATTTTCTATTAATTAATTTCTAATTTTTTAATATAATAAACCTTCAGGAGAATTGTTATCCCAAGAGGAAATTATTCACTTCCGTAGGGATCCTGAGCTGATCCAGGAGAGTTGTGTCTTCTCACACTTCTGTTCTGTTCCGTCCTCCTGCAGGTTTAGGTGAATGGCTTCAGGTCTCCAGGGCAGAGGAGGAAGCTGGGCCCACTGGTGCCTGAAGGATGTCTGTTATTTAAAATTCCTGATGCTCCTCAGCTTACACAGAGCCCTGCCTAGAAGAAAAACTGAAGTTCTTCTGTGAGAGAACCAGTGAGCAAGGAAAAAGAAGCACTTTTTTCCTTTGTCAGCCTTTTCATGCCACCTGTATGACCATGAGCAAGTCACCCCTTGGCTGTGTTTGTGAAAGGTACAAGGACCCACATTATTTTATAAGAATCCTCTTTAAAGATAAATTGTGAATTTGCTTCCTCTGAACTTATCAGATACAGCCAAGCAGCAGGCAGATTTAAACTAAGCCTAATGTTTAATTCCCCTGACAAACAGGCATTAAGAGATGTGTACAAAATTTAGGAGCTGAATTTCCTATCTTTGATTTCTGGGTTTACTTTTAGTCTGACTTAATGACTTGCCAGCTCAGGGACCCAGGAAAAAACAGTAACGCCACTCTGAATACTCAGGAAAGAATCTGCTTCATTTTTGAACGGGAAAAGCATAGCAAATGCCTATTAACTAATGAAATGTTTGCATTTAGATCGATCGACTTGAACTGTAACAATTTCTGGTTTCAGCAGATGGGGGCAGTGTTGCTTCACTGAACTTTATTGGCAAAAGAAATACTATGCGAAAGCATTTAGAAAAAGTCAGAGCAACTGCCAGCAAGGAGGCAGTGCCTTTACTGATGATAAATGCTCTCTGTGCATTGTGAACTCTGACGAGTGAAAACAGTGGTAATTTCTCTTGCTTTAGCAGCGTGGTGCTTGATGAGGGAAAGGGTTCTAACAACTGTTCCAAATTTATTTCCTCTTACACTGCAACAATGCAAAATTTCAATTGAAATATATTACTCTGTGTGGAAAGCACTTTTCTGAGCCCAGGTCTGTTCTGTTGCCCCTTAGTAGAAAGTATCTCAGCTCTGTCCTTAGAGGTACTCCTCGTAAAAGAATTCCTTTCATGTAGCAAACAGTGCTAAGGTACTCAAGCTATTTGAGGTTCTTGGCAGAGGCAAGATTTTAAAAAAGAAAAAAAGGGTTGTATTTAATACTTTGAATCGTTTGGTAGGAGAATGACGATTTTGCTTTAGTTGTATTCAGCACTGAAATCTGTTTCTTGGAAGGGGAGAAAATGATGTGATTGCCATGGCGATAAATTTAATGGAGTTCATGGCAAAAATGATGCTGGATTCAGCACCTGACCTTAATCACAATGCTGGAGGAGAAGAAAAACTGTACCTCAGAAATATTTTGATAGCTGTTAATCATCAGACACAGGACTGACAGTG